GCTCGGCCTGCGGGTGCCCTGGCCGGTGTGGCTTCACCCCCAGGCCCGGGAGGGGTGGCCCCAGCTGGAGCACCCCGAGGACACGCCACGCCGTCTGCCAAGGTGCTTGAGCCGTTCCCGCTCCCGTCCCCACACCTGCCGCGGCGGGGGGCGTCGTTTGAGGGCGACCATGATGCTCACGGTGTGAAGGACGGCTCCCGCCGCCTGATTCCTGTTGCCCCGGTCATCGGGGATGTGCTTCGGCCGGATGTTCGCCCCCGGGACGCGCCTCTTCTGGTCGTGTATCCACCCTTCAGTGGGGTGCGTTTGTCATTAGTGCTCTGTCTGAGGGCTTTAGGTCAGCTGGATGTTGACCCCTTCTCTGAGGTGTGCAAATACGCTCACCTGCCTCGCGGGCTCTTTTCAGCCAGCTGGACCTGCCCGTCAGTGGGCAGCAGCTTTCCTTTGTGATGCGGTCCGCTTCTCGCTAGTGTCTTCTTGTGTCTGTTTCCCTGAGCCTGCGCCCAAGGACATCTCTGAAGCTGATGTCTCCACTGTGTATTTTAAGATTTCAATCTTGCATCTAAGTCTTTAACCCATGTTGGATTTACTCTGTGTAGGGTTAAGGAGTGAGCCAGTTTCATTCTCTGACACGTGACCCTCCTGGTTTCTAAGCTCCCTGTGGGAAGGCATTTTCCTTTTTCCGTCGTGTGATCTTGGCGTCTTTGTTGTAGATTAAGTGTTGACGTATGTGAAGGTTGATTCTGGGCTTTTGATTCCATTCCATAAATTTCCTTTTTTATTTCAGCACTGTACTGTTTTAATTACTGTCATTTTGCAATATAGTTTGAAGTCAAGTCATGTGCTGTCTCCATTTTTCTTCTTTTTTCCTCAAGATCGCTTGAGCTATTCAGAACACGTGTGCTTCCACATAAATTTTAATATCTTTTGTTCAGAGAAGGGACTTCATTCCTCCGTGTCCTCATCAGATCCTGACTGGTGTGTGGGCTGCATTCCAGACACACCCCCCAGACCCGAGAGGCGTTCGTTGGGCCCCCACCTCCTCAGGGAAGTCCTTGCAGATTGCCCAGACCAGCTCAGGTCCTATTACACACTTTTGGGTGTCTCCAGCTTCCCCTTCACTGAGAATGGGCCCAGGGCACCGGAACCGCCGTGCCAGCAGCTGGGCCGGCCTCCCACACAGGAGAAGCACGCACGTAACTGCTTCTTAAAACCACGGGCCCCTAGAGCCAGCTGCCAGGGGCAGGAGATTGGGGACCTGGGGAGGGCGTAAAGGAAGGGTGCTGTATCCCTGCATTTCTCCAAGGGGGACCCTAGCCAGGGGGACCCTGAGGCCACAGGGGAGAAGCCACTGGGCCAGAGCCAGAAGCTGCATTTTGCAGGAAATGAGGTCGCTAGGTCACTTTGCTGGCCCAAGTCCCCACTCGCCAGCCCCAGGTGAGTTCTCCGGGACCCCAGGGCCGGGGGTCACCTATCTCTCTGGCGGGTGAAGGCCAGGTTCAGGGGGGAAGAGGCCCCAAGCGCCCCCGACCCCCACA